TTCCTCTTCCGGTCATGTTAGCTCAGGAATTCTGGGAGTTGAAGTCCACAAGTCTTAAACTTGCCAAGTTTGAAGACCTTTGTGATAGAACCTAGAAATTTAAAGGTCTCTACTGTTGATACTGTGTTGTTGATACTGTGTGTGGATGAACCTTCATCTTTCTGCAAACACTACTTTCATGGCAATCACTACTTTTATGGATTACTGATTTACAACAAGGAATCATAGTTGACATCTGTGTTAAACTGGCAAGCCAGTACATTCACCCTATTATCTTAGTAGAGGCTTCATTTACTTCTACTCTGCTTTTGTAGGTGTGCCATATCCACCCAGACAACTCTTAACTTATGCTGCCCTTTAGTATGCATTTGAATTTTTGTGGCCCAGATATAGCAACCATCATTGAGAGGACAGTTCCTATATTGTACTAAGTTGTGGTTTTTTTAAATTATAGTTTGAAGTACAATATAGTCCTTTATTGTTGTAGAGTTAGGTGACCTCTAAATAGTTAATTAAATTAAATTAAACCCGAGAAGCTTGATGTTCACAATGAAGTAAAAACAAACTCCAAACCTTGCATTACAGATTAAGGTAAATTGTAAATGAATATAATGCCTTTCTCATTTCTCCAGATATTTTCCTTTGTTCTGTCAATTGTAACATAACTCCATCTTATCTACGCCAGTCAGTCACTAAATCATAGAGATAACATCTTTAGCGGTAATATGTGCAAATGGAGCATTTAACAAGAATAAAACAGTGTAGAATATTAGCTCCATGGTTTAAATTGTCTCTTGCTCTGGCAGTGAATCAGAATACTACTGATATTCCAGATTTTTAAAGACTTTCTTATTTTTAAATAGACAGAACATACATGCAATAATGTTTTGTGAATGGGAGATTATGGTCATGAAATACCCAGTTAGTTGAAAGCAGCTTTTAAGTTGAAACCATGGGAGTCATTTACGGGAACTAAATTGATTTCCTAGTCTTTTACAGATTCCTGAAAGCACAAATCTATACATTCCCCTTAAATTATGCTTAAAATCAGCAACATCTCCTAAACTTTGACAGTGATGCTTACTGACTCTTGTCTTGAAGGCCTGGATCAATTGCCCTAAACAATAATTTCTATGTAACTTTATTGGGTATGTCAGTAATGCAGTGGTTTCAAAATATAGTGTTGTCCTTCCCAGGAATTGGAGAGAATTTATAGGATAGGAGGGGAAGAAGAAATAAAGTTCCAGGAAGTGAGAACTTATTTTGTCTCAGTGGAGAAATGATATAGCATTAACTTAATTGCTTGGCTGTCCATTGGCCTGTACAAAGGCAGAGAATGTTCTCGGACTTCTGACCGCAGTATGTCTTTTTTCATCTGCCTCCTTTTATTCACTTTATCCCTGACCTTTGGCACATGTTCCTTCCTTCTTTTGCCCTGGCACCTCTCTGTGCATCAACTTTGCATAGGCTAAACCATGATCAATTGTTGCGATTTGCTTTAGCGTGTTGTGATTATTATACATGTACCTTATTGATTTAGTGAACACACATCATAAAGCAAGTTTGAATGATGGGATGTTCTGCACAAGTATAGAGTTGAAGTTTGGTTGCCGGTAATGAGAAAAGTGACATATGATAGGAGTTGAAGGGCTGAAGTTAAGGCCCAAGCCTTGGCGGTGCCACTATTCTAGTGGCCTAGAATGGGGCAAGATAGAGAAGTGCCAAGTCAAGTTAGTCATTTTCCAAATTTTTGACATGCCAATCCCAAATGTTTCATCATCACTGGTATAGACCAGAGGTCGTATTCAGCAGCTTCTGACCAGTTCTGGAGAACCGGTAATGGAAATTGTGAGTAGTTCAGAGAACCGTCAAATACCAATTCTGACTGGTCCTACCTCCATCTATTCTCTGCCTCCCGAGTTCCAGCTGATCAGCTGGCTCTTCTTTTGTTGCCCTGCACAGGAGAATGGAGCTGGAAAGCAGGTTAGTGGGCTGGGGAGGGAATAGAATTTTGCAGTATCCTTCCCCTGCCACGCCCACCAAGCCATGCCATGCCCGCCAAGCCACGCCCACAGAACTGGTAGTAAAAAAATTTGAATCCCACCACTGGTATAGACCATATGGACTATAGAAATATACCAGTAGGTAGTATGCTTTAAGTTTAGCTTGAATGCAAAGTGGCCAGTTGAGAAAGAGCTATGTCGAGGTAGTTTGATTATATGACCAAGGATCAAATTGCAGTATGAATATATGAAGAAAGAGTGAGGAAAGGCAAAACTGAGAAAATTGTGTTTGGATGGAATTAGACAGATTCTCAAAAAAAGAGAAAAATCAGGAGATGAAAGAACAAATACATGAAGTGATAGTTGGACATTATGAAAACATGGATGGTTCACAAATATAAATATATGTATATGTATATGTATGAATGTTGCTGTTGTAAACTAATCTTACCTATGATTCCTTTTTCTTATCCCGTGCCCTTAATTATTCTGTCTAATTATTTCCTACTCCATTTCTGCGCTTTGCATAACTGGTTACAATAAATGAGAACAGTGTAATGGATATTTAACATACATACGCTAATTTACCTGGTAGTTCTTTTGATAGATTAGAAGCTAAGCGTGTGTGTGTGTGTGTGTGTGCGTGCGCGCATTCAGGATTGCAGATGAATTGCAGTGGAAATGGCTTTTGGATTCCTATGCTGATATTTCAGTCGAGGTTCATAGAATTCAAGGAGATTCACTTTTAGCAAGTGCATGGGTACAATTGCACTCTGAAATAACACACTTGGCAAATGGATAATTTGCCAGAGTATTCAATGCACTTCTCATAAGCTGCTTGCAAATGGTACTTCAGTCTGATATGTTTTTTTCTGGTGGTAAATGTATTTCGGAAGCGTGGCTCCATTTTGGTCTTTGAGATATATTAGCATTTATTCTTCTACTACACCATGTTCTTATAACAGATGCATTTATTATTCAGGAGTCAGGGCAGAAAAAAAATGTGTTGACTGTTAAGTGCTGCTCAAGGACAATATTCACAACAGAAAACATGCCCTAAGAATTGCATTAGCCATTAAGAACATAATATTGCTTTCCTTTGCCATTTTAAACAAAATCTGGAGGGCTTGACTTTAAATGCCAACTGCGAATCTCTTTTTTAAATAGTGAATCTTTAGAAACTTTGTTTTAGAGCTATGGCATACAATTCCAGCTATGTTTCCTTGGAATAAGCCTGAATTTAGTAGGAATCTCTGAACAGCTTTCATTTGTTGCTGCATCTAAGTACAGGAAAACCATACCTGTGAAGGTATTAGGTTTACCAGTATTACTATTCTGAGGTTCCTTGTTTGGGCAAAATTTCATTCTTTTTGCTGATGTGATACCTTGGTCCCTGCCTCTTAATTCTGTTTTTTTTTTAAAAAAGAAGATTTTCTTTTTTTTGACCCACTAGTTACATTGCCTGCATATGAAGGATGGACAATGGACTAGAAATATGTCCATAAAAAAGCAACTACGAGCCACCTCTTCATAGCGCAGGATTGGGGAACAGGCAAAAACAGATGACAATTGTTAGAGAGCTAACTTTCAGGTATTCTACAACATGCTCTAGTAGAGTCTTTTCCTCCTTGTAGTTGGTGGTGTTTGGAATTGTAATCTAACACACACATCTGAAGAGAAGATGTCAGGGAAGGTTAATTTTGAAATGATCTACTAATGATTCTGGTTCAGTTCATAGCTGGTATTTAATACGTTGATAGGAAAGAACCACTTCACAGTTTGCCAAGTGTAGTCTATAAACCAGAGATTTGTATTGATTTCTTTGAACAAATCTGTGTTAACCGTGGTATAAAATAACATAACATGAACCAAGCCATCACAAAAATGTATTCAGATTAAATTTGAATTTCTTCTAAGTGCCTATGGCAAAATTAGCAAGTTTTATATAATGAAATGCAGAAATCTGTTTCAATTTTCATTTGCATTTTTCATGAGGAAGCGCCAAATTAGTTAACAGATAACAGATAATCAGAGTTGGAAGGAACCTTGTAGGTCATCTAGTCTAACCCCCTGCCCAAGCGGAAGACCCTATACCATTTCTGACAAATGGCAGTCCAATCTCTTCTTGAAAGTCTCAAGTGATGGTGTTCCCACAACTTCCGAGGACAGGTTGTTCCCTTGGTTGATTGTTCTCACTGTCAGAAAGTTTCTCCTTATTTTCAGGTTAAATCTCTCCTTGTCAGTTTCCATCCATTATTCCTTGTTTGGCCTACAGGCACTTTAGAAAAGTTAGAGATGAAACATTAGATGGATAAGAGGTATTGATATGGTATTTTACCCCTTTTGCATTTCTGAGAGGATTTTGTGGGACTTTTAAAACTGGGCTATCCTGTTTTAGGATCTCCGCTACTTATTTTAAATCTTTCCCATTTTAAAATAACCGGAAACCACATTTCAACAGAGTGGTTCTGAAAGCTGTAATAGCCCTAGCTTAGAACTTAAGACAAAGTGCAAACTCTGCCAGTTTGTGGGTTTATTCCAGCAGCCATAGTTGGGTTTTTATATATGATGCTTTTCACAGGGATGAATAACAGATCAGTTACCCTAATCCTTTAAAGTAGCCAGAGAGCTATTTTTATTGCAATATTAACAAACCCACAACTATTTCAGTCTTCTCGGTTGTGAGATTTCCTTTTCTTGCTGTAAAAATTCACAAAAGAAATATTTGTTTAGCTGAATTTTAGTTTTTCTTTACTTAGAAATGACTTGGTTTCTGTGAGTGGATATGCCTATCCATACCTGGATTTTAAAAAATGAACCTAAATATTCTTAGATCTTTGTTTGATGTGACTGGGACTGCCCAAGAGGCTGAATCCAACAAACCATAACTTATCCTGAGATACGAACCTTGTCACCAAACATGTTCATAAGTAATTTGCCTGCTGCTCTCAAGTTTTTTTTTTTTAATGGAAAATCCTTCATCTTTCTTTTCCCCAGGAATAACAATGCCATGACACATTCTAAAGAAACAGTTAAGAACACCACAACATAGAAGTGGATGGGGAAAACAGGCAAAAGCAGATATGGCAGCATCATTTATGACAGATTGCTTGATTTAGAAACAAAAAGTGTAATATACATTAATAATTAGAGTTTTGGACTAGGATTGTGAAAATTCAAGTTGTTATCCACTCAGAATATTCTTTACCAGAGTTCCTCTTTCTCAGTTCAAGAAGACTAAAGTCTAAGGAAGACTTCTTCAACTCCTGGAAGAAAGTGGGATATAAATCTAATAAATAAATATAGCAAATTTTTCTGAAATCTTCCTTCTAATAACTTTTCAAATTTCTTTACGTCTTATTCAGACTTAACTCTTTAACCTTCACTAAATTTGTATCTAACATTTTTCTTTGTGTAGCAAAAATCCTGGCCTACATCTTCATTGCCACCGCCATTTTGTCCTGGCAATGAATCTGTGAAATGGTCAAAACTGAGAATGCTAATTCTACCTCTATCGTACAGTACTTAAAAAAGATCACTGCAAGAAATAAGCCATGAGATTTCAGAGTGGTTGCAACTATATTGTTGGGGAGGGCATTTTTTTTAAAAAAAGGAAAATGCTAATGTAAATTGAACAGTGTCATCTTGGACATAAATTCTAATGGGATTGTCACCTATGCGCTTGTAACTGGTGTAACCAAAGGACTTTTGCTGCCTTTATCTGTACATCATTTTGGCAAATAAATCTTCCAATGTCCAGTGATTTTACATTTTTAGTGCATAAAATGTTCATACTCATGCCTCGCTGTTATTCATTACACTCTGGGCTGCTTTCCAGCCATTGGCAATGTTCTGAAAACACAGACAAGTTTAAAAATCCTAATTGCAAATCAGTAGTGTAAGGCCAAATTACAAGCTGGGTTTTATCTCAAGCTCATCTAGAATATCCATTTTGGATTTTCCAAAAATTGTTATTCCTTAAAAAAAAGTTAAAAAAAGTAAAGCATATTTTATATAAATTGTAGAATGGTCTGCATATCTTATATGCATTTAAATTGTATTGGGATTCCATCTTCCAGACAATGTCATCTGGGAGTATTAAGAAAAGAGGAGTAAATTAATTATAACTGTATTCCATCCCTTGAGGGTTTGCCTTCAGTAATATCTAAGATTGTTACTTTAGCACAAATAAGAATTTAGAGGATAAATTTAGGCCATAATTTTGTGCGGCTTATTTTTCAAAGTGGGCCCCCTTCTATGTTTTATTTTTAATGTCTTATTTTAATGGCTGTTTTGCTTAATATCTGAAAGTTGATTATAAAGAAAATTAACTTTCACTCTTACTAATTACTTGGCAGGGCTGCAATTGAAAACTCTTCCTGGCAGTAGAAACTATAAGCACTGGAAGTGTCCCAATCTTACAAAATTTATAGAGCTGGACTCAAGCAGCTTTTCAAAATTAATTTCTTTGAAATATTTCTAAAGTAATGTCTCATTCCTCAGATTGTTAGGAATTTTTTCTAGTCCTTCCTTAGAATTATGACAGTCTCCAATATGATAGTTTAATTTGAGTAACAGTGAAAAGACATGTTTAGTTCTTTGAGTAATAAGTTGGGAATGGCATTAATTATCATTCTGATTTGTTGCTATTTCTAAAGGAAAGCATTTATGGCAAAAAAACATTATGTGTGTATGTGTACATGAGTCAGTATTGACTCTTGATGATTGCATGGACAAATCCTGCACTTTTCTTGGCAACATTTTGGAATTGGTTGCCATTGCCTCCTTCCTATGGCCCAGAGAGAATGACTAGTCCAAAGTCACTCAGTTGGTTTTATGCCTAAGACAGAACTAGAATTCACGTCTCTCATTTTTAGTTTGGTACCTTAACCACTACCTCAAACTGACTCTCCCAAGAAAGTGATTACTAGAGCTAGTACTTCAGTTATTGGAGCATATCAGAACCTTTCAAAAGCAAGATTAAATCAGCTCCAAAAAGAACTAAGGGACACTTGCTTGCCTGGAATGTGATAGCTTTGATTGCCTGAATCAATGATCTTGGATTCATCTTGAAACTCATGTAATGTGCCCAGAAAATTAAGAAAATTTGGAAGAAGAAATAGCCCTCTAAAGAAACTCTGTATTTATATGCAGGAATTTAGTACAGTCTTACCCTTGACTCTTCTGCTTGGACTAGAAGTCATCAAGTAACTGTCAACTGAGATCTAATGCATCTGGAAGTTATGAGATAAGGGAAATTTCACTGCTTTCTGGAATATATAAGTTTCTTTGTACAGTACAGCAGCTAAAAAGCACCAATCTGGGGAAGGCGAAGAAATTCAATGGCTGAATCAAAATATTGCATTATTAATAATTGTAAAGTTAATTAAGTATCAGCCTGTTCAGAAAGGCTCACTAATATTTCCAACTAGGCTATAGATTTTTCCACCAGAATTTTTTCTTTTCTCAGCAAAGATTTAGTAAATGTTTTGTCCAGGGGTGGGATTCTACCAGTTCCCACCTATTTGCTAGAACTGGATGTTAGCATTCTAAGCGGTTCAGAGAACTGGTTGTTAGAAGAAATTACTGGCCTAATCCTGTAAGGAAGGCAGGAAGGAAACATTCTGGTGTTGCTTACAGAAACTGCCTCTCCATTAACCCTTATTACATTCTTGGCAGGACTAGATTTCCTGTCTCAGAAATGTCTCTGGAATTTTTTCCCCCTCCTTTGCTGGTACTTTGCTTGTGTGGAGTGACCATTTAAAGTTACAATGGCACTGAAAAAAGTTACTTATGACTGTTTTTCACACGACTGTTGCAGCATCCCCACAGTCATGAGAGGCCAGACGAGGAGATGCATGCCTCGATGTGAGTGATGTTGAATTGGACACGCCCAGCCAAAAACATGACCAACAAGCCATGTCCACCCAGTCACATGACCACCAAGCCACACCTACCACCTAAGCCACGCCCACAGAACTGGTTGTTAAAAAATTTGAATCCCACTCCTGACACCGGCCTAAAGTAAATTCCATTTGGAACATTTCCTCACATTTTTAAGATGTTGCAATGCAGTTTTAACTTTTTCTCCTTGCATTTTTTTGTTCAAAATGTAAGCTTAAATTGGTCAAACGAATAAACAGACAGTTTTAGAATACGGTATAGATTAATCTTGTAGTAAAGAATGAAAGCCGAAGGCTGTGAACACAGGATTGGCAGGGTTTGCGCATAAGAAATCAAGCCCATTTTCTATTTATGAATCTTTAGCGTTACTGTCAGTCAAATTCGCAATTTGCTTTGCTTTCCCAGAAATATGTAGTACTTCTGGCATGAACTTGTAATTAAGGGGAAAATTTGGAAGCTTTTAATGCTGGCAATAATAACAGGATGTGTAATATGAGACAGGCATCTTTTGAGCACTACTTTCCTTTTGCTTCTGAAAGAGAGTAATTATTTTATTTATTTATTTTTATTTGTCAATTGCTTACAAGATAATAGGGATAAGTAAAAACATAGTTACGAATACATGGATATATATAAGAAAAATAAAAAATATATAAAAGAAACAATAGGACAGAGACAGTAGGCACATTGGTGCGCTTATACACGCCCCCTACAGACCTCTTAGGAAAGGGGTGAGGTCAATACTAGACAGTCTAAGGTTAAAGTTTTTGGGGTTTGGGGAAAAAAAACCACAGAGTCAGGTAGAGTATTCCAGACATTGACCACTCTGTTGCTGAAGTCGTATTTCCTGCAATCAAGTTTGGTGCAATTAACCTTGAGTTTGTATCTGTTGTTTGCTCTTGTGTTGTTATGGTTGAAGCTGAAGCATTCATTGACAGGTAGGACATTGCAATGTATGATTTTATATACTATACTTCGGACCGAAGGCGGCGTAGTTCTAGGTTTTCTAGGTCTAGAATTTCGAGTCTGGTGGCATAAGGTATTCTGCAATGAGTAGAGGAGTGGAGAACTCTTCTTGTGAAATATTTCTGGACTTTCTCAACTGTGCTAATATCAGATACGTAATGTGGGTTGCAGTACTGTTTATGTATATAATTTACACTATATAAGGATGATCAATGTCCCAAAGAATCCTTCAAGAGAGTATTTAGCTGTTTTTAATGTAAATACGAAGCACTACATTTATCTTTCCTTAATAGGAATTTAGAACTGATCCTAACATTGCTGTGAAAAATAATGTTTATTAACTTCAGGATCAGACTTTTGTTTTTAATTCCAAAATAAAATATATTTGGTTTACTGAGTTAGGTTTGTCTTGTTCCATACAAGTAGCCAACATTTTTAAACCCACATAGTATTCAGGATACTAGCTGTCAAGCTGAAAAAATTAGCTTCAATTTCATTCTGTTGAGATTTAATTGTGAAAAATCATTTTATAATGTCACCTAATACTTTCTAACAAGATAGAAAAGATATCCTATTCTAATGGACCAGTCTTAGTTGTACCCATGCAACATTCACTGTAACAAGAAGGACAAACGGCAGTCATTTTTAGCACATTTTGGCCATGCTAGGAGATCATCCAAAATCCTGTTTTATATCAGTCTGTCCTATGCAAGCTGGGATCTGTAATATAGAGTAGCCAGCAGTGGTGTGTTTCAAAAATTGTTACCGGTTCGGTCGGCGTGGCTTGGTGGGCACACTTTGCGTGTGCACACCCACCTCGTGTGCACATGCATGCCAAACGCACATTTTGCACAGGTGCAGAGGCATTTTGACTCACCTCCTGCAATCCTGCACTTTCCTTGTCACTTCACTTCACTTCAATTGCTGTGCCGCGCAAAGCAGCTGCGCTTCAAAAGCAGGACATCAAGGTTAGTATGGGAGCCCGGGCCGGTGCGTGGATCCAAAACAGAGTGTCAGAGAGAGTGTTAGATGAGCAGTCTCTGCTACTCATCGCTGCTACTGGCTCGGCAGAACTGGGCCGAACCAGTAGAATACCACTACTGGTAGCCAACCTTTTAGGCGCTAGGGATCTGTTCTGCGGAGACATTTTTCCACGAACTGGGGAGGTGTGGTTTTGTACGCTGCCTGGGTCCTGCACTTTGTGCGGATGA